TTTAAAAAATATATTCTTTTAAGAAAACTGTTTGAAAATTACAAGTCCATTCATGATCCCTCCCATAACTAAATAAAATTTTAAGAGTGACTAAATAATGGTTTTATTGAAAGTCAGTATATCCCAAAGCTACTGACTGGGATGTAGATGTACTGACTTTGGGATGCATGGAAGGATAAGACTAACACTTTATTTGAATTTTAAATATATCAAGATCTCATTTTTCCTCAAAATCTAATGCATTACTGGTAGAAAAAAAGCTGTATTGTCGTTGTCAAACATGGTCCAAATCTTAGACATCGTAGGAAATGGCCTCCCAAAAATACTTGTTTTTAATTAATCCACCCCTTATCTTTCCTTCCCTTCCCTTCGGATTCTTTGAACTTGAGGCTTATCCAAAATATAAGAAGGCTCGAGCCATAGAAGTCAAGAGCAACATTTCCAATCTACCACTTGTGATTTGGCATATTTTTATCCAGTTACAAAACAAAATCAGTGCGTTTATCTCCTCTCAAAATATATACTAATGAGTTGTGAAGTCTGCATGGGCAAAAAATGTGCTCGGATTCACCATTAAAGGAGATTTGTAACATAGACTTTGTCCTTGGAGTTAAGGTTATCAAAATCGAAAATTTAAATAAAATCGTTTTAATTAGATAAAATTGAAATAGTAAGAATCGATAAAATCAAAAGTTTATTACATTAATTTAAAATTTATATAATAGTAAAATTTAACATTAAATATTTAAATTTAAAATTTATCTAAGAAGTATAATTACTAAGTAATTATTTCAAAAAAATTTTGAACATTTTTTTATTTTATAGTTATTAAATTATTTTAAATTTTAATAATTTTGACCTAAAAAAAATTTCATAATAAAATATTGTTTGTTTAACTTACAAAAATTAATAAAACCTTAAAATGCTAAATTAGATAGCTAACATTCAAACCACTACCAAATAACCCATAAATAACCAACAAGCACAGCTCCACCAATACCTTACTGATGATTATTAGTTAAATTATGATACAAAAATCTATAAAACCTTTTAAATTTGTAAAATTTTGCTTTTATCCAATTTTACGATTTTATTGTTCTGAAATTATGAAATTCTGATTTTGATTTCAATTTTACACAAATTATTACAATTTTACACGCGATTTTGACAACCATTCTTGGAGTAGACACTTGGAGCCCAAATCAAGGCTCTTTACAGAGAGCGGCATAATAAAAAGAAAAGTGCTTAAAAGAGAGTTTTTAACTTTGAAGAGGGGTGGAGGTATTTATAAGTTTTTTAGAAGTGCCTTACGTTGCTGTGCTTTTGTTGACACTTTTGGATATGTACTTGTATATGTATGAACCCCAGAGTAGTCCATATGTGTACTCTCGTATTTGAGCCTTTATTATGTCTATAGGTTAATTGGACCACTCTACCAATAGTGTGTATAAAACAGAAGAGACACCCATTTTTGTGCTTTTGAAAGAAAAAAAAAAAAAATCAGTTTTCACTAACATGTCCTGTTTTAATCATTTAGAACCCCACATCTCCTACCGCTTCTTCCAAGTAATGAGGACAATTTGATCAAAGATTGATTGCATGAAAAGCAAAAATTTTATCAGGGAGGTCTATCAAATTCAGAATTCCAGAATTTATTTACCAACCTTGTTAATATATGGCATTATGGCTATCAACCTAACTAACTAGAAGGTGCACCTTTCAAATCCCTTGATCTGAATTCGAATCTATCAACCTAACTAACTAGAAGGTGCACCTTTCAAATCCCTTGATCTGAATTCGAATTTCCTTTTACCAAAGTTTTAATCTATTTTTTTTTTTTAATCTTGCAATGAGACATTGTATAGCTGTCATTAATCCTTAATAATTTTTTAAGTTAATTGACTTGAGTAGGTGACATGATGACTGGCAACTTTTATTTTTATTATTATTATTATTATTATTAGCGGTTAGCTAATTTTCTCTAGCAATAGCAAGTGGCACTTCACTATCAGCCTAATTACTAATTAGTTAGAGATTTCAATTGCACTCTTCAAGTCCATGACTAATGTCATTTTTGAATCCTTCTCGCTCAAAATTATAGAAGTTACTAGTCAAATTGGAAAAATTGGATCAATCATTTATTAAAAAAAAAATATTAGTTTATATTGTAAAAAATTACATAAAAAATTTTAAAATTACATCATTTTAATAAAATTTTATTAAAAAAATTAAAATATTTAAAATTTTAAAATAAAAATGATATTGTTTGAAGTTTTTTTTAACACTACTTTATTAAAATGATTTATTTTTAAGATAACTTTCTTAGTTACATAATTTTTTATAATACAAACGATGCTTGTTAATCCCATTATTTATATATTTTTTATGAGATAGATCAACTTGTTAAAATTCTCGTGAGAAAAAGGAATGTGGAAAGAGAATAACAGTTCAAATTTTAATCGTTAAAGTGGGGCATAACACTGATTAATTCTAGCTTATACAAGATCAAAATAGCTCCGCCCCAAAACTAGAAATCATCATATATAGCATTCCTCTATTAGAATTATGCTGTGCTACATTGTAACACAAGTTGTGAGCGTTTTTCTATTATCTTAAAAATATATAATTAAATTAATAAAAAAATATATAGAAAAGTAATTAAAATTAATTAAAAATTATTAATTTACATTTTGAAATAAAAGTGCTCTGTAAAAAAAATATGAAAAGAGTACTGTCAAGCCAAACCATCTCTCCAATTTCTGTCCTACAACTAATTAACAATCTTTACAAAAATGGAAAAAAAAAAAAAAAACTAATTAACAATCTCAAACAAAGTAAAAGGTGTTAAGAAAATGGAAAATTAGTCATTGCCTACTCGGAATTTCAACGATGGTCTCCAATGCAGGCTTCCATGATCTCTGCTTTACATACCTCTCCACCGAATCTACCGGTGTACTTCTGGCCATTTTTCCCGACGTCTTGGCTTCTGATGGAAACAAACAGACCGGAAAGATCTTGCCCAAGTTGTTAAAGCTGGCATATTTCAGCGCCTTTTTTGCCTTATAATTGAGAGAACTCATCTCCTCGTGAGTCAGCACCGAGTACAGCAGTTCCATGGGAAGAAGAAAGTAGAGTTGCCGCCGCTCCAGGTCTTCCTCCGCCGTCAGTCCATGGATTCTGTACCCCACCTTTAGGGTGCTAGAATCGCAGACGAAGTGCCCCGGATTGTCCAGCATCAGATCCGCCGCCTTAACTGGTTTTGTGTAGATGTGAATAGTGCCATTGGAGAATAACACCTTTGTTGCTCCATTTGAGATGATTAAAGGAGCACAAGATGCTGCATTCCCCATTGTTAGTAACAGATAGAGGGATCAATGGGACTGGCAAGATGTTGGGCAACAGAGGGTGAATATTTATGCATGGGTGATGGTGGTTGAGAGAGAAGACAGAGTATTCAGATTTCAGAACTCTTTTTTGTCAGTTTTAAATATTTTTTATGGTTATTAGGCTATCAGATTGGAAGAATCAAATTACAAATATTTTTAATCCCTAGTTTTTAATTAATAATCAAATTAAGTAGTTTAAGAAAACACATTGGTTCACCTAAAAACAGCAAAAAAGTTTGGTGTCTCTATTAATCATCAAAGCTCAGCTTAATGGCAACTTGTCATTACATGCATATTTTTTGGGTAGAGTAATTCTAGCTATACTTAAATTGAGTTAGTGGTTATCTCCTCATGGTAGAAGTAAATATCTTTAATCTACACGATATATAAATAAGACAAGAAAGACAAATGGAAAAGAACTTACTGAGTTGATTTAAATGATTAAATAGTCATTTGAATTATCTTGAGATTACAAATTTGAATCTTTTTAATACTTTTTGTGTGTAAATGTAAGATGGAATCATTTCAATGTCATTTGACTGTAAACAATTAATTCAATTGTGCTTAATCTACAACCCCTAAAAGTATATTCATACCCACAACTTATAAACAAGAGTGATTTGTAAGTACTCGTGAGATTAGACGTTGGATCAAAATTTTAAACATCTATATTATCAAAAAAAAAAAAAAAAAGTGATGTTTCTCATTGTAGCACTATATCGTTAATATCAATGAACTTGATCCTACCAATGTTGTATATACTTGTTAAGCATATAAGTGAAACTTACAAGAGACAAGAAAATTGGGGAAGTGATATATGTGTTCCATCCAGACTTGAGCTGCAAAAAGGGCCAATGCATGCATGAGTGAGCCTAGAGGGTTTTGTTTTCAGATTAATACTTGGTATACTTGGCTTTTGATGCACATGGAGAAGGCATGGAGCAATGTACAAAAAGACATCACCTAACTCATGATTGGACATGGTAGAAAACAATTTCTTCTATAATATTCTATTTGGCAGCCGGCCTAACTTAATAAAATAAATCCCAAACTACAAGTAAGAATGTCTCTATCAAGGAATATTTATACCGGCAGACGGCAGTTGAGGAGTTGATAAACAAATAAAAAATACTGGAAGTTTATGATGTAATGTCAACTTTTGGCTAAATAACTCTAAACTGCTAGCCTGGAAATGGCCAATGATTTACTAATAACATGGTTAATCTAGTAAATTTATATATTGATTCACACATATACTGCTGAACAAGAAATCTGCCATGTCATATTGTAAAAAACAGTCTGCCAATCACTTTTGCCTGAAAATAATCCCTTAATTTATAATATCAATACTTAATTTGAGGGTAATATTTATATAGAATGTTTAGCGTAATTAACTACAGCATGGTTTGCGTTATGCGACCTGTAATTTTTTAGATTATTAATAGAAAGGTGATTTTCAATATAAACAAAATTTTTTTTATCAATAATTAAATAAATTGTAATTTACATTAGACATGACATATATATATATATTTATATATAGAATTGGATGGGACCTAACTTCTTATGCCACTCCGTGAAGGTCTAGTTTCCCATCTCGAGGTTGGACGTTCAATTCTCCTCTCTCCAAAATTCTAATAGATTTAGAAAAAATGTATTTTGAGCTGGAAGATTACTTGTTTTCCAAATTTCCTCTGGCAGGTGATCAAAGAGAACGGCTAATTTATATGATTGATTGATTCTGTTGAAAAAGCCTTGACAGTGGGCTATCCAACTCTCACCAAATATTAATTGTGCCCTCAATTTTTTCTTTTGAATAAATTATTTGAGCTACCTTATCGTTTTTCTTTTCTTTTCTTTTCTTTTCTTTTCTTTTCTTTTTTTTTAATTTCTTGCCATTACTCCCGGACTCTATTTTTTCAAATAAAACAATTACAATGTAAGTTGATGGGTTATGCAAAAAAAATATATATATATATATATTCTCTTAAAATTCCTCCTCATACCATTTAAAATTTGGAATTCAAAACCTCAAAAATAAAACTATTAGTTTTTAATTACAAAACATCTAATAAAAGATATAATTCATTATTAAAAGAAAAAAAATGTAAAAATCAAAACGTGTTATCATTTTAAAATGTCAAAATTTTTTTAATGAAATTATTTAAATACTTTTAATAATTTTTTTATATTAATTTATTAATGTTGTGTTTGGAAATATGTATTTGTATTTGATATGTGTATTTAATATATATATATTTAAAATACATAAATTTTAAATTTATGTATTTCAAAATACATTGTTTGGATTAATTTTAAAAAAATAAATTTCAAATATATATATTTAAATACATTGTTTGGATATATTAAAATGTAATGTATTTAAAATTGAATTTCTTCTTAAATTAAATCATATTTTAATTATTTTGATGAAATACATGAATTTAGAATTGAAATTCATGAGCTAGAGGATATATTTGAAATATATGTAATTTTATTTTTTTTTATCTTGGTTGCACAATGAAAAGCAATTATTTCTTATCTCTTATCTCATTTCACTCACATGCCATGCAATTTGAATTCAAGATTTCTTACTTTTAGCGAAAAGAGATAACTACTGAGATATTTAGGTCATTGGTCATGTAATTTTAACTTTGAAATACAATATTTCAAATACATGTATTTCGACAAAATTTAAATACATTATATTTAAATAAAAACAAACAATGCATTTAAATTTAGAACTTCAAATTCAAATATACTCTAATCAAATTCAAGTTTCCAAACATGTCATAAGAGTATTTAAATAATTTCAGAAAAAATTTCAACATTTTAATTACCAAATGTTCTAATTTTTCACAAACCTTTATTAAAAAATAAATTGTACCCAAAAAAATTGAAGTATAAAAAATGACTTGTTTATATATCCTTAATTTATTAATTAAATATTTTTATTTTTAATTTAAATTATCAATAAAAATTTTATTTATTTGCCTGTGAAGCATTATCTCTCATCTTTGAAGTTGGCAGGAAATAGCGATGGGATGGCTTTCCCCGTGCCCCCACTCCATTGTCATCCCTAAATTAAATTCCAATGCTAAACCAAATAACCTCTTTTACGTGAATCAAATAAAGATGAATTGCAGCTAGATGTAATGTAGGTGCAGAGTCTGAAGCATGTATAATAAGGACTCATTAAAGTAAGGGCGTCACAAAGGCAAGCATTTAAAACCAACACAAGTTTAAATAATAAGGAATTAATTATAGCTAAGAAACTGAGTTTTGGCAGAATTCCAAATAGAAAACCATATTAAAAATCCATAATTACGCCAAGTATGAAATTATTCCTCACTGCTGAAACCTATTTCGCATAATTCCACTTGAAGATTGATGCTGCAAGGAACTCTGGTGCAAACAGGTAACAGAGTTTGGCATTTCAGTTCTCACTGAAGACATTGTTGGAGGGTTGCGCCACCTGGGAAGGCGACCGGCAAGTAGAACTGTCTCCAGCAAGGGTTCAGCAGCTACTACAGCCTGCACAAGCTTCCCCTTTTCAGGCAGTGGCCTTCCTTTAACAAGATTGTCAATCACCATTGAAGCATGATCTAACATCAAGTCCTTTGACCATATTGTTCTTTTTCCTGTCCAGACAAGACCACATAAACCTTGAACATTTGGCATCTGAAGGTTACTTGATTCAGACAAGCTGGCATTGGACATTGCAGGAGAGTTTGCTACATCAGAAATGCAATCTGCTGGGGTAGATGGAGAGAAGACATAAGATTGGTTGTTATTTGCTTCGACTATGTAATCCAGGATTGGTTCTGTGACTTTTGGCTTATGATTTATTTCAGCTGAACTGGATGGCAGGCACTGGTTTAGTAATTTTCTTAGTTCGGAAATTTCTGCTTCTGATTTCTGCAACTGCTGTCGAGCTTCATCTCTTTCATGGTAAGCATCCAAAAGGAGCTTATACAATTGCTTTATTCTGTCTTGGTACATTTCTAGCTCATTTCTTGATGATTCTAGCACGTAGCTGCTGCACAAAATCTTGTCCAACTCCGACATCTTCTGTCAAAATGCAATCACATTGATCTACAATAACAATATTAGTACCGTACTTGATTTTAATCTATGTAATCTAATATAAGCTCCAGTGTCAAAGTTTGGTCTCTTTCTAGGGAAGAAAGAAAAGAAATAAACTATTGTGGTGTTTGGATTACTCTTTGGAATCAGCTATAAATTGTCAGCTTTATTCGAACAAATT